CTGTGGAAGCAACGCTGATTAAAAGTCAACCCTGCCATTGCTTCTTAGCATGCAGTGATGTGTGGAGAGGGAACGCCTGGTTGAGAAAAGAGGTAATTTAGCAAAACCCAATTGAAATCTCCCCTAATTAAGATGAGTTTCTTCCACTGTGAGATGAAATATTCTGTTGGGAGAGGATGCATAGACACAGAGTCAACTGGAGTTTAAAAACAAAAGGATGCTGGGTTTTTCTTTTCTTCCCACAAAATTCGTCTGATTCTTTTTCATGAAGTTTGCTATTTAATCGCACACTTCCACAGTGTCCCCACAATGGTTATGTATAAACATTTCAGCTGTTAAATGGGTCATGAATCGTTACTAGTTTCTACAGGTGGCAAACTAGTGCATCTCTAAAAATTTAAGAATCGTGAAAAAGTTAGATTTAATCAGTTATTTAAGGAAATAAAAAATGTAATATTGTCTATATTCATTACACTCCAAGTGTTTTGTTGTTATAATTCTGATAATTATGGTTTATAGCTCATGCAAAGCAGAAATCCGATATCTCAAATTATTAGAATATTTCATTTCAACTTTGCTTAAGTCATCATCCAAATTCAAATACTGTGTATCTCTTGGACCAGTTCACTACACACAACCACAATCATGGGGCAGACTGTTGACTTGAAGCTTGTGCAGAAGACAATCATCTACGTCCTCCACAAAGAGTCACAAAAGGTCGGTTACTAAAAAGGTTGGCTGTTGGCAGAGTGCTGTATCCGAGCATATTTGGGAACTGGAAGGAAAGAGTTTGGAATGAAAAGATGGACAAGCACAAAGCCGCAGCCTGAAGAGAACTGTCAAGAAAAGTCAGTTCAAGAACTTAGGAGACTTTACGAGGCGGAGACTGACGATGGTGTCAGTGTATCAAGAGCCACCAAACACAGACGTCTTCAGGAAAGGAGCTACAACTGTCACATTCCTAATATCAGCACTAGTACATGCAAAGAAAAACAATCTTGCACAGAGAAAGCATCCTAAATAAAGGTGTGGGGATTTCTGGACTTCCCTGTGCATTACTTAAAAATAGTCTGTAGCCAAAACAGAGCTGAGCGCCAGTACTCTGTCGCTGCACTTGGTCCTGAGACAAACAGGGTTGGCAGTTTGCTCCGAGTGCACACCAGATGCTAACAATCACCCATCCATTCATCCAGCCTTCCTTAGAAACAGTCGCATGTAATTTGTTTAGTGATGACACAGCAGCCAACAACATAAAAAGAGTGCAAATTAAAAGTCAGCGTTTTGTTGTGGCCTTGTGTAGCATTTGAGATTAATAGTGCATGTATAAAACATCTGGCATTCTCCAGAACTGAAGCTGCTTGTTTTAAATGATTAAAATAACAGAGAGCGTTACAAACAAAAGTAATAATGAGATACATATTTTAATTTCATTTTCACAGAGGAGGTACTGCTGACCTCGTCTAACGTGACTACAATAATTGACCAAACTTTGGTTCTATGCAATGCATTTGCGCTGCTCATTTCGCCGATAACAACTTTGTTTATTCGGTAGAACACAAGCTGGGCTCCGACTCAAAAATGTCAATTAACAAGCAAGTATTTGATTTTATTTAGCCTGGCATGTTTCTCATTACATCCAATAAGTAGACAGAGCTGGGAGAGTCTAAATATTGAATATTTTCTGTATCAGTGCCAAGACACTGATGCCATTAGTTGTTTTGTGTTGCTTTCTTTGTTGTGGTTGTTGTTTTTTTTGATACTTTTGCTGTGCTTTCCATTCTCTCCTCTGAGCATTTACAAAATGTTTTGCAGCTGTTTATTTTGTTCGGCAAAAAGGGTCTCAAATGCATTAATGTTTAATCCAAATAGACCAAGCCATTAACATTATTCTGAATAAAAAAAAGCAAATTTTAATCATATGTAAACATAAAACCGGTCTGAAATTGAGGATTAGTCCTTGACTGACAACCTTGGCCGATGTGACGGTGTATTAGAGAATTACACAGGATGTATATTTGGCTTCATGAACAGAAAGCACCCTCTTGTTCACTTATTCACTTCCCCTGACGGACACTCAATAATTCACTCAGCAGTGAGCAGTGAAGTGAGATTTCAGACACTCACTCATCGTCATCATTTTGCGTCATCGCTTGAGTCACAAGACGTTTTGGCACCAGTAAAATGCGGCAAGCTGCATTGTCGGATTGTTAATAGAAAGCAGTGCGAACAACACTTTTAATGCCACTGTAGAACTTCAGAGATCCTCATATAAGAAATAAATGTGTTACTGCACACTATGCAGTAAATAAGGCGTCATTTCAGGTACAGCTTATGTCTTTGTTTATGCTTCTTTACATGTACTTCATTATACTTCTGCGTGTTCATGATATAGAAAATACAGAACAAGTAAACAACAAGGTTACAGGTGACAGACGCATACGTTTTCTTTGACTTTTAGCTGGTTTCAGCGGAACATGCTGTTGTTAATAGCAACCACTGAGTATTACTGAAAACAGAGCAATTACTTTTGTCACGCACGTGTTGAGGGTGTTCACATGGACGTTCAAGAATTCTGTGTTTGTGCATTAAACATCATATCCTGGATAACCTGGATAAGCCCTTATAACGGAAACCCAAATATGTTACCTGGAGCTGAAGCTGGAATATAGCTGCATATATACACCTTATTAGGTTTCTGCCTGCACCGGTACAGCCTCAGCCAACTGACTATTGTAGTGATAAAGAAACACAATTGTGCCTTTGGTTATAAAAGATCTTACTGTCCTTGTTAAATTAGACGGAACATAGCGACATGCTGAACTATTTCAAGTCTGTGGTAGGCAGTTGAACAAGTTCAGTTGATTGCTAGTTAATTTACAGTTATAGGAATGTTAGAAGAATGTCAGATAGTCAGCAAGTGTGATACTGGCATTGATCTTATATACAGGGATATGTTAACCACATTTTGCTCTTCCATGTACAGCTCACATTGCGAAAATGATCAAAGCAGCAGCAAAACTTATAGCCTGGCTACTCAAATCCATGTTAAAACATTTATTGGCAAGTTTCTTTCATCTAATCTTCAAAAGCAATTTACTCTTTGTTTTATTCTTGTGGACTCTGTGACTGGATGCACCAACAAAGATTACGATTAGTTCCAATCAGACTTCAGCAAAACTGGGTTTAAAATGAATAAATTCAGACACAAAATTAAGCAGAGCTGTGATGCACAATTAAAAACTAATCTCTGTTTGGTGACACCAAGTTTATTGATGTAAATGAAATTAAACAGTGTTTAATCAATATGGAGATGTTTGCTTTCCCAAATTAAAAAGAATTAATAAATAAATGAGAAAAATTAATTTGTGTGCTGTCTGGGCCGAGTGAACACAAAAGAAGGGAGAAAACCGTTCATGTTCAGCCGCTCTGTTCTCCTTAACAAACCGCTGTATTGTTTGCTATCTATAATCACAATCGCTCAGCAGGGAAGACCTTATTTCTCCTCCTTTAAGAAAAACTCATTGGCTGGATTAAAGAGGGAATATGAACAAATAACAGAAGATTTAAAAACAGACAACAGCACAGTAAGAATAAAAGATACAACTGTCTTTCTTTGAGGAACTTGAAGAAATTCAGCCTTTTTTAAGCTTCCTAAGTGTAAGTTTAAAATTTAATTTAAATTGGAGGTTTAGGGTTTTTTTGTTTGTTTAATTTTCTTTTTTATGAAGTTTTCTCTTTTTTCACAACCAAACATACACACCCCATATGAAACCAATAGGATGACAAAACACCCTGTAAATAAAACAAAACATAGAACAAAAATAGCGCAGAGACAGACCATCGTATCATACAACCTGTTTATACGTTTACCTACACAAGTGTCCATATAGACTTTTTGGGGTTATGGATATATATATACTCTAAATAATATATTTTATATAATATAATATAATAATTTAATATATTTTCAGCATTAGGTAATAATTGTTTTTAGTAATTTTTAATGATAACATTTGCAACAATTTACTGTAATTTGACAGATTTAACTTGTTTAACAATATTTTAAAAGTTCTAATTTACACGTCACCCCTAAAAAACAGGACAAACTAAATAATGTTCACATCAAGAATCTGTATTTTTACGAAGTAGTAATTAATGACATAGTTTATGCCACAAATCTGGATAATAATGTATTGAAATATCAAAAACCTGGATATAAATACACTAAATGATCAAAAACCTGGATATTTTTGTATTTAACTGTCAAGAACCTGTATGTTAATGTACTAAAGTATCAAAAACTTGATTATAAATGTACTAAAGCATCTAAATCCTGGAAATAAATGCACTGAAGTGTGAAAAACCTCAATATTGCTGCACTAAATGGTCAACAACCTGGATATTCCTGTACTAAAATATTAAAAACTTGGATGATAATGTACTTAAGCATCAAAAACCTGGATATTAAGGCAATAAATTGTCATGTTTCTGGATATTATCATACTAAAGTATTAAAAAAAACTGGATATTAATCAACTAAAGTGTTAAAAACCTAGAAATTAATGACCTTAATTGTCTAAAACCTGGACATAAACTAGAAAAGTGTGAAAAACCTGGAAATGAATAGCCTAAATTGTCAACAACCTGGATATTACTGTCCTAAATTATCAAGAACCTGGATGATCATGTACTGACTTTCAATAACCTGGATATTGATGTGTAAAAGTACCACAAACTTTGATGTCAGTGTATGAAGAAGCTGTAAGTAAAGTATCAACATGTCGGATGTTTATGTTTGTGGTTTCACTGCAGTTTTTCACAGCGTTTCTCTTCCTGGAATCAGAGTGAAAACACTCCCAGATCCAGTCTGTCCACGTGTTTCCTTATTTCCTCCTTCAGACCTTTAGACTGGGTGGAACCAACATGTGGTGACGACAGAGAGCTGACTGGCTCAGACTGGTTTATCTAGTCCCACTTCCCTGAAAGCAGAAACTCACTCAGTCGCTGCTCAGACGAGAAAATGGCTCAGAGAGGATCTAATCTGACTTCAGAGAGCATTTCTTGTTCCATCTGTTTGGATCTGCTGAAGGATCCTGTGGCTACTTCCTGTGGACACAACTACTGTCTGGACTGTATTCAAGCCCACTGGGATGTAGAGGACCTGAAGAGAATCTACAGCTGCCCTCAGTGCAGGAAGACCTTCACACTGAGGCCTGTCCTGGAGAAAAACGTCCTGTTGGCAGAGTTAGTGGAGGAGCGGAAGAAGACCGGACTCCAAGCTGCTGCTGATGATCACTGCTATGCTGGAGCTGAAGATGTGGCCTGTGATGTCTGCACTGGGAGGAAGAGAAAGGCTGTCAAGTCCTGTCTGGTCTGTCTGGTCTCCTACTGTGACAATCACCTTCAGCCTCACTATGATGTAGCTCCATTAAAGAAACACCAGCTGGTGGAGCCCTCCAAGAACCTCCAGGAGAACATCTGTTCTCATCATGATGAGGTGATGAAGATGTTCTGTCGCACTGATCAGCAGCTGATCTGTTATCTCTGTTCTGTGGATGAACATAAAGGCCATGAAACAGTCTCAGCTGCAGCAGAAAGGAAGCAGAAGCAGAAGAAGCTGGAGGAGAGTCGACTGAACATCCATCAGAGAATCCAGGACAGAGAGAAAGATGTGAAGCTGCTCCAACAGGAGCTGGAGGCCATCAATGTCTCTGCTGATGAAACAATGGAGGACAGTGAGGAGATGTTCACCCAGATGATCTGTCTCATCCAGAAAAGAAGCTCTGAGTTGAAGCAGCAGATCAGATCCCAGCAGGAGGCTGAAGTAAGTCGAGTCCAAGAGCTGGAGGAGAAGCTGCAGCAGGAGATCAGTGATCTGAAGAGGAAAGACGCTGAGCTGAAGCAACTCTTAGATTCATCAGATCACAGCCAGTTCCTCCACGACTACCCCTCAGTGTCAGCACTCAGTGAGTCCACACACTCATCCAGCATCAGCATCTGTCCTCGGAGACACTTTGAGGACGTGACAGTAGCTGTGGAAGAGCTCAGAGATAAACTACAGGATGTTCTGAGGGACACATGGACAAACATCTCACTGGCCATCACTGATGTGGATGTTTTACTGTTAGAACCAGAACCAGAACCAACGACCAGAGCTGGATTCTTGAAATATTCACGAGAAATCACTCTGGATCCAAACACAGCACACAGACGACTGTTATTATCTGATGGGAACAGAAAAGTAACATTTATGAGCCAACAACAGTCTTATTGTGATCATCCAGACAGATTCACTGACTGTTGGCAGGTTCTGAGTAAAGAGAGTCTGACTGGACGTTGTTACTGGGAGGTGGAGAGGAGAGGAGGAGGAGTTAATGTCGTAGTTTCATACAGGAACATCAGCAGAACAGGGAGTTCAGATGAAAGTAGATTTGGATACAATGACATATCCTGGGCTTTGTACTGTGACGCCAACAGTTACAGATTTTGGTACAACAACACTAGTACTCTGGTCTCAGGTCGTCCTTCCCCCAGAATAGGAGTTTACCTGGATCACAGAGCAGGTATTCTGTCCTTCTACAGCGTCTCTGAAACCATGACTCTCCTCCACAGAGTCCAGACCTCATTCACTCAGCCGCTACATGCTGGAGTTTGGCTTAATTATGAATCCACTTCAGAGTTCATTAAACTTGAATAAACTGAAGTCTTTAAAGAACAGCTGGTTAAAATGGTTCAGTTTCCAGCTGATTCATTCTCATTGTACACTGTAAAACACCACCGTTGTTTATAACTGTTTTATTTTTCATTTGAATAATAAACCGTTATTTTACAGATTTATATTTCTGATAATATCTACTTAGAGCAAAGAAAGAAAGTTTTCATTTAGATGTCAACTGTAAAAAAAAAAAAAGTAAAATTATGTCCACATTAAAAGTAATTTGTACTTTCAGAAGGTTTGACTGTATTTATATATTGTTTAAAAATCATTAATTGTTTTACTGATATTTGATGTTATTTGACAGAAACATTCTGTACATTAAGTATTGATTGTTCAACAGGTTTTAGTAAAGTCACAGTAAAAAGTTAGAATTTACATGTAATCCATAAAAACAGGAAATAATGTGGAATCAGATGATTTTATGTCAGAAAATGATTCTTTTTTTATTTGCATCTTGTTGTATTTCCATTCATGTGTGCTGGGTCTTTACACTATAAAATACACTTTAATTTGTTTTATTATTCTTTAAACTGGAACAATTAGCTGTTATTTTATAGATTCAAGATTCAAGACACCTCTGACTCCTCTGAGGAGTTACCAGCTTCAGTCGCTCAGATGGAGAGACTGTTCATCCAACAACTGTTATGTGTTCTTCACCAGTCAGAGTTTATTGTGGTTGCTGCTGTTCGTGTTGTTCATCGTGTGTTGAAAAATGAATAAGTAAAGCTGATCATGAAACTGCCTTAACGAGGAGTTTATAATCCGACGTTTTGTTTTGTTTTTAGCAGTTTTTAACATTTGCAACAATTTACTGTAATTTGACAGATTTAACTATTTGAACAATATTTTAAAAATACTAATTTACACGCCACCCGTAAAAAACAGGACAAACTAAATAATGTTCACATCAAGAATCTGTATTTTTACAAAGTATTACTTCATTATTTTACATAGTTTATACCACAAATCTGGATAATAATGTACTGAAATATCCAAAACCTGGACATTAATACACTAAATGGTAAACAACCAGGATATTGATGTACTAAATGATCAAAAGCCTGGATATTTTTGTATTTAACTGTCAAAAACCTGTATGTTAATGTACTAAAGTATCAAAAACTTGATTATAAATATACCAAAGCATCTAAAATCTGGAAATAAATGCACTGAAGTGTGAAAAACCTCAATATTACTGCACTAAATGGTCAACAACCTGGATATTCCTGTACTAAAATGTTAAAAACTTGGATGATAATGTACTTAAGCATCAAAAACCTGGATATTAAGGCAATAAATTGTCATGTTTCTGGATATTATCATACTAAAGTATTTTTTAAAAATTGGATATTAATCAACTAAAGTGTTAAAAACCTAGAAATGAATGGAGGTTTAAATTTTGGCGCAGCAGAATTAAGTCTGTCGTCCTTTTAAGTTACTTTTAAAGTTTAGTGCAACACAATTTAAACTAAACCATGATTTAATTGAGTTTAAAAATCATTCCTTATTGGTGCAGCCCAGTCCATATGTTTACCTCATTACTGTGACTTCATTCTGGGGGCTAAGTATCTTTTCATGGGTCCACTTTCCTGGTTAATAGATGAGCTAATTTTTTAAGTGCTGTTTTTGGTATCTTACCTTTAACTGATTTGTTGTCACTATCACAAAAAAAAAGAAAATCAATAATTCAGTGAGCTTGGCTTGCTGGATGGCTGTGAACCTTCACATACAGTGAAGGCATGACAGACACATGGAAATCTAAAGCAGAATAAAACATAATTACCGATATTCACAGCAACCGTGTGTACAGTGCCAGTGTGTGCTAATGATGAACATCCGCAGTAATAACGGCGGCAGAAAGCTCAAATCAACGAGGGAAAGCGCTTTAATGGATTCAACAGACCACTGAGGCTCATTTGAAAGCGTGAATCTCATTAAGACAGAAAGAAAAGGTTTTTGACAGGCTGTGGTGTGACATTTGGCTCTCTGCTCAACTGTCCACACTCACTGGCCTGTCAACCTTGTCACTTCCGATTTGCTGACAGAGCTATGGAGAATCCAATAGACAGGAATGCGGTTGACAGCTTGCTGTCTATTAAAAAGGTGGCCATGAATTCCACAGAATATCCGCAGCCCACAGAGCGAGCTGCAGCGGCATAAATCGGGGTTGGACTGAGAAAGAGCAGCACTGAGCAGCAGCCAAACAGAGGAGGAGACGCAAAGCACACAGGAGACGCTCAGATTTAACAAACATTACAACAGAAATAGAAAATGCAACACTGATGTTTTTGCCTGTGTCACAAAACACTGGGACATAAACTGCGTGGCTGACTAGCTGTGTAATTGGGACAGGCACAAATACAGTGTGAAAGCAGCTGTTTGCGTAAACAGGGCCGTGTCTGTTTTTCTTCTCGTTGAACACAAATAAAGTTAGAAAAAAAACATGTTTCAAGAATCATTTACATGCTCCGAAACAGGACAGACTAAATGGGGAAACTGTGGGATGAAAATCGGGACGTCAGCGGAGGAGCCGAGAGCTTAAGTTAAATGAGAAAACCAACGTTTGAATTCTTCTAAACCTAACCTAAATAGAGAGTCAGACGTGAGTGAAATCAATGCCCGGGCACTGTATGGTGCTGATTACTGGTGAGTAGATGGCAGGTGGGGGAAAAGAAAAGCAGAGAATAATTTGTTTCCATTAGATGAATCTGGGGTGGATTTCAATGCACTAATGAAGAGCTAATGATAGAAGAGAGTTTAAAATATTCAGGTAGCACTCATCTGCTATGAAACTCTGAGACCTGCATTTACATACCCCCGTTTCTTTACTCCTTTCTACCCTTCCTGGTGCCCTCAATTCAAGGTCTGCTCATATGGACTCCTTTTGATTATTTCTACCCAAAGGAGGGTAAATCCTGTTTTAGACTCACACAACATTTGCTGTATATCTTTACACGTGGGACAGGATTGCAAATGTGGTTGGAAGAGAAAAAGCTGAGTAGGCCTCGCAAACGCATTCCCAAACAAACTGTCCTTTCAGCGAAGGACAGTAGGCAGAGAGCTGGATGGAAAGAACTGACCTGACATTTAAGGCTACTGAATATACCGTCGCACAGAAAGTATGAATGAATCATTTCTCCTGTGTTTGGAACAAGTTTGGAATATAACAGCGTGTTCCTGCGAGCCGTGTGATAATAGCCAAGGATGATAAAGTGGCAAAGGCTGGTAAATGATAAACAGTAGACGCTAATCATTTCTGCAAAAGCCAGAGTGGAATAAATGCTCAAACAGGTGTCAGATGTCAGGCCGGTAGAGAAAAAATAAAAAATCAGTAATGGAACATTTCCACAACCCGAAATGTGATGTAATAGCAACAGTTCATTAAATCGTAACAAATCACACTGCTTTCCTGCTTTTTTTTTTAAACACACTGATGGATGTTCGATCTCACTAATGGAGGAAATAGATTACATCTCAATCGCTTGTGTCCAATTAGTGCTAATGAATGATGTTCAATCCATGAGTAAAAATAATGCGTTGATCAATATGATGATACTGTGATGCACAGTTGTGGGAAACACAATATGCACCTTAATCTTTACTTTTTTTTTTTTTTTTTTTAAAAGCATCATGTTGGTGAAACTGTAACACATTATGCAGAATGACACATTTCACAGTGCTATCATGCATATTTTGTTATTGTGTTATCCTTGCTAATGCAGCTAAAAGCATCATTTTAACATCATTTGTAACTATGTAATGTGCTGGGTCCAGTTTTACAAGCAAATTTGCTTTGAATTCAAAGTCTAGATCTGCAACATAAAAAGTAATTTAAAGACATAACATCCCTGAAACCTTTGAGTCTGTAAGAGGAAACAGGTGTGTTCTTGTGCACAGAAATACAGCCAGGGGCTTCGCTTTTTTTCCGAAAAAAGTATCTGTATTCTGCTGAACAAAGTCAGAGGAAAAGGTCAAACTCTGAAACAGTAAAAACTGTGCTCGTATACTATTGTTGTCAGAGTTGATGTTTGTGGGCGGAAGTCAAGGACCTACTGTTAGATATAGTGTTTTCTGCTGATCCTTTACAAAGAGAGACAGTGTTGTCTACATGCACCGAGGAAGGCTTTGTGCTTCATTATATCGGTAGACTTGTCCGCCGACTGATTGTAAATAAATCCCTCTCAAAGGTCAAAACGTGAGGTGATTTGTTTTCATGTTTTTAACTACGGAGAACCACTTATTTTTCCAGGATTTATTTTAGGAGAATGTACTCACCCTGGATCAACCCATTTGTCCTCTTGTCTTGCCTCATTTCTTGCCACTTTTTTTTTATTGTCCCATAAAAAATATTAAGGTCGAAAAAATGCAACAACTAAATATCACGAGGTTGAAATATTTCCCTCTGAAATATAGTGGTGTGGCAGTTTATAGTAACAGAAACAAGAGGACAGTGGCACAGGCTGGAAATAAACTGCAAAATGAACGAAACCGAGCACACCCAAAATATCTGCAATAACCCTTTATCAGAGAGGCACACACACACACACACACACACACACACACACACACACAGACATAAACACACACATGGTTAGTATGACAGAGCCAACTTTAAACAAGCAGTCAATCTGTATAATGTAATAAATGTTTCCAGTGGCCAGTTTAGATAATAATTTGCTTAAGTTACGTTAAGTTAAGTTGAGTTGAGTTGAGTTGAGTTGAGTTGAGTTAAGTTAAGTTAAGTTAAGTTAAGTTAAGTTAAGTTAAGTTAAGTTAAGTTGAGTTAAGTTAAGTTAAGACTTTATCAATCCTGAAAGAAATTCTTTTGTGTTTTATGTTCTAAATGAACCCGACAGTGTGTCTGGAACCAGTCTGACATTCTGCCTTTTTATGTTATTTGCAACATATGAGTTATTTTTAACAGTTACTTTGAATTACACCACCTGCACTGTACTGTATCAGCATGTGACAAGATTAAAAAACAAACAAACAAAAAATCTAGATCTAATTTTACAAATAGAGATGACAAAATCTATGAAAATATAAGACCAGAGTTGCAATAAATCTGAGTCTATTATTAGTCTGCGGCCCAGCTGGCAGCAGGATGCTTAGGTCAGCATGCTCATACGCTCACAGTGACAAAGCTGGTGTTTAGCAGGTACAATGTTTACGGATTAGCATGTTTAATTAGCTAATTACCACTAAACAAACAGCACAGAAACCAAAATATTGGAGAAATTAAAATGATGACATGATGAGGAAAAGTCAAGAATTATTAAAACCTATCCTGAGGAGTACATTAATGTCAGTATGATATTTAACGGCAAATCATCAAATAGTTGTTGCCATGTTTCACTCAAAGCTGAGAATTCCAACCTCACGGTGGACCTGGAAAGAACATCAAAGTCAGTAGGAATCTTCCTCTTTGGAGATCACGGTGTCTGTACAAATGCCAGTCTATTCAATAGTTTATGACCTTTGTCAGTCTGAACCAAACACGCTGCCACCCACAGAGCAACGCATCCAGCAGGTCATAGTCCACTGACTTTGTATTGGTTGTAGTTCTGCTGCATAAGCTGAGAATTAGCCATTGTTTCACTTGATAATGATGATGATGATGATGATTATATTTGAAAAATAGAGTCAGAGTACAAGTGAGTTCACTGTATCCTGCCCAGACTGTCCAAGCAGCACCAAGGTGCCACCTTTCATCTATACCTCTCACCAGTCTCCAGAATACAG